CGGGGCCCCCCCCCCCCCCCCCCCCCAGCAGGTTTTTTCTAGAAATCGGAAAACATGGATAAGGTAGCAACGCGGCTGCTGGAAAGGAGAGCCATCTGTAGAGAGTCGGAGGACTACTGTCTGAAGCGCCACACCCAACGGAAAATTCTCAGGAGTTGCCGAAACCTGCAAAATTTCCCTATCAAAGAACTTTCTTGGAGAAGCCGGTTAAGGTTACTGACTTGGTGGAGGATAAAATCAGAGGACGTTTAATCGAGAGTTCCAGACAGAGGGCGACGAGAAAAACTTGTTGATTTGTAGGCAATTTAGAATATGAGGGAAGACGACATGAAGGCCCTTGCCAGAGTTGGTCTGTTACAGTCTGTTACAGTCGAACCCAGCGGGTGGCGAGGTCAAACTAGCCTAACGTATCTAATATATCGTGATGCTTTGTTCGGTTGGATTAAAATTAATTCTGTGTCGAACGCGTCGAAAACACAGGGTGTCTAAATCAGGATGCGAAATTCCTTTCCTTGGCCCTGAAGTTTGAGCTAATTTTAAGCGCTCCATTCTGCAACCATGCTTGATAAACCCGAAGCCGTGGGGCTCGAATAAGTTTCTTTTGATCCAAACACTCATAGCGGAGACAAACTAAAGGGAACTCACCGATCTCCACGCTCACCGACCGTCGTCTGAACCAGGTCTGAACCAATTAAGGCAGCGGGAAGCAGCGAGGGGTTCCCGGTAGCCAAGATTTCCCTTTGAGAGACTTTCGTTGCCGCATTGTTTGTTCCTCCACGAAGAAAAGCTGATTCACTCTTAGGCTACTGGAAACGTGCGGGCTGGTTGGATATGGCGGGTAGAGGGCTGCACGGTAAGGCCGACATAATTAGAATGACTAGGGAAAATGGCATGGACCTAATTTGTGAGATGCCTGTAAGCGAAACACTGTTGCAAGAATCTTCACTCTTCCCATCTGAAGGTAAGAAAAAAAAAACTTTCTGCAGGTAGGCCAGTTTTCTTTCAGCCCTTCATTTATTTGTCTGTCTGAGGCAAACGACATCGATGATTCTTAAGCAACACTGCTACATTATGGAGGTTACAGTATTTTTCACTTGAGTTAGTAATTTTTTCCCTTGACTTCCACAGCGGTGCATCATGAGGTTGATATAGCGGATCGACCCAGAAACTAGGAGTTCCATTCTTACGTGCAGATATCGTGATGCCAATGGCGACAACGATGATTAATTTCCTGCTGAAAACTGGAAAACTAATATGAATCCTCCCAAATGCGCAATTTAATGAAACGATCATCTAATGTCTAAGTGAAAAACTAGACTTTCTTGTCACCCATTGCTGTTTCCCTTCATAACATTTCAATAAAACAGGTGAAGTTTTTTGGCACCGTTCCTGTGTTCTGAAGTCTCCTTCCCCATGTCGAACTCACGTAGGCTAGGTTAGCCCTATATAACGTAGATTTGGGATTGTGCATCAAAGTCCAATCCAGTGTTTCTACATCGTTGAGCCAAAGGGAAATTGAAAACGTAGAACCTTTTTTTTTATTGAATTAGACTGCATGGAAGGCCTCCCGTCGACAACGTGGCTATGCTCGGTCTGTCGTTTCCAGTGCATTGTCGGATTCATATGAAAATCCGAAATATTCAAAGGAGAGAAAGACGTCGCTGTCACCAGGGGCACCATCGCCCCCGGCTCCTCTCTGAATACCCCACGCATCTGTGTCTTAGTTAAGTGAAACACTGTAATATTTCCTCAATTTGTGCCCAAGAATAGAACACCGGACATGTTCAAAGTGTGGATGCCCTGTTGATCCTATAACACTAGAAATTTTGAGGCCTGGGAAAATACCCATTTTCTTGGTTAAAGCAAGGCACATAGGGCGAATCCACCCGCCTCTCAAACACGAAACTGCATCGAGCTGAGCAATGAAGTCCATATCCAAATAAGTAGCCGGGATGAATTCCATGCTATTTGCGATCGACTTGACACAAGCGTTTCATCAATATGAGCAAATTTGATGGTCGAATATTTGTTGGTGATGGTGAATCAGATTCCTTAGATTTACGTTAGATAGGCCTAATCTAGCCTACGTGAGTTCGACGCGGGGAAGGATCTGTGCTTCTTTGGAAGACGAAAAAATTAACTCCTCCCTGCAGTCCATCAGGTTCAGGTCTCCAATGAAAATGGAAGTTGGAGCTCACTCACTCGTCAAACATTTCTCGTAAAGCATGAACGTCAAACGCTTAAATATGCAAATGTATCGGAGGAATTTTTTATTGAGTAAAATAATAGAGATCGAAAGAAGAGAATTTGCATTCAACTCTGTTCAATTCCTACAAAGAATCAGTCCTGTTCAAGGTAGAAAATTTATTTGTGGTCGACTCCAAGCGAACGGCAGCGCAGGTCTTCATGCAAAACATCAAACAGCGAGGATCACAGTGACGAGACTGGAGACGAAGAGAACAGAGGCGACTTTCTGGATGGCAGCACTGTCGCAGTTTTCCTTCTCCAGGTGGTTGCAGAAGTCCTCAGAGCAGAGCCGGACGTAGTTGGCGTTGGGGATGATCTCGGAGCCGAAGCAGCCTTCTTCTTCGGGTTCGTATAGGATGCACATCCTCCTCACGATGTTTGCTGGAAGGTCAACAGAGGGCCGGGGACACGTTCACAATGCGCCAGAAAAAGAAATCGAGGAGCTTCGGGAAGAACCTGACCTCTGGTACCGTCCGTGTACCCGGTGCCGCAGTAGTATTGCTTGCCTGGAACGATGACAAGTTGATCGCAGTTCTCCATTTCCTGTTTGTCCATATCTTTGTCGCAGTCCACGCCGCTGCAGGAATGGCATTGTAGTCCCGATGCTGCAATTGGCCACAGAAACCAATCGAAAGATACAAACCCTTTGCTAAGTAGCCCTAGCTACCTCATTGAGATGGAATTACCTTTTTTGGCATAGGCTAAAACCCCCAATGTTTGACTAGTGAATCTGGGTGAACCTTGTAATTCGCTCGTCGTGCCTAAATGGTACAAGCTACATACTTCGTTTTTTGTGTGTGTCTGGGAGCACGATATAAGTAGAAATAGGTATTTTGAAGATATTGTCCTAAGAAACCTTATAGCTTCCAATAGCGCCTATCGTATGGGTGTCCGAACTTCGATGCGGAAAACAATTAAGTGCGAATACAATTTAATTTGGACACACTGGAAGTAAGGTGGGAATCTGCACATATCTGGCAACATTGCACGTCTGTCTCCGTACTTTTCTTCAATTTCTCCCGTCCGCGATATCATAAAATCCTAAGAAATGATGATGGCCACCGCATGTCTTTCGCTCGGTAACATGTTCATCTTGTGCTAGGAAGAACTCTTCGGAAAAGCGATCCCTCCCTTTTTTCCTGACCCTCATTACTTACATCTCTAGGAAGGTCTCCAGACGAACTGACCGCACGGGCCTGAGCCTGCTCTTCATCCTCATGATAGAAATCAAAAGCAGAACAGAGAGGGGGGAGAGAGGCAGAGCTTCAATTTTGTATGCAGTCATTTTTATATATACATTTGAATACTTGGCTCCTCTTTCTTGCGCCATGGTATGCCATTTTCTTCCTTTACGTCTGATCAGAGCTTTTATGGTTATCTGAATTCTCTTTGAAATATCTAAGTCCTTTCTTTTGTTTCCGCAGCGGATTCAAACTCTGCAATTCTCTTCGTCCTTGAAATCCAGCCTTTTCGCAACGGTGCGTGACTGCAGAGAATGAAGTCAAGTCTTCAAATAAATAATTCAAGCCTTTCTCCTTTCCTCCTGGCGTTGACACCCGAGGTAATCGAGGACTGATGAGTCCATGCATCTCACATAAAAGGAGACTCAGGTCCACGTGATGAGGTTACTCTCTTGGAGAATCGGTCATCGTGATGGGCGCACTCCTGGCAAGAGATAGAAAGTGGAGCCTTCGGGGAAAGTAGAATTTTGCGTTAGCATAGCGTTACTCCTGCCAGTTGATTCCTGGTAATATGTAAATAGCAGTCACATTTTCAAACCGAACGGCGAAACAGTAACCACAGGAGCCCAACCCTTTAGCAACCAGCAAATCGACAGCTCAAAACTCGACTCGACTAAGCATGAAACGTTACGTCACGGGGTGTTACGCAATGGAGGAGAGATGCTGTGTGGAAGCTGTATGGAAATGCTTCTGTGAACCCCTTCAGCGGCCACGCGACTACCTGCTTGGGTGTGAGACAGAACTCCCTGCACATCGTTCTTTACCTTCAACGGAGAATGTCCCCAGTATTGAATAAAAAGAAATGCGGGAATCCACCCATGCCTCCCCGACCCAAGAGTATGGGCGGGAAAGTAGGGTGGAAGAAGCTTCATGTCTCTATCACTGCTTTACGCTGGTAACCTCTGTTTGCGGGACCATTACTTCTCAGCACGTGAAAGCCGAAATCTGATTGACGGATCAAGTTCGGCATTCTTCAGACTGCCATATCTTTTCGTGCGGGTTTCTATCATCGGAGTCAGTCTAGGCTTACGGTTGAACGACGGGACGACGGAATCATGGATACGAGGAAATGCATAGGTCGGCCTAAAATGTCCCCGAAATTACGGATGAATTGCGGACGAATTCGTCTCGGGTCGTACACACAGCCCCCTAAAGGGGCCCAGTCGGTCGAAACGGAACCGAAAGCGTGAAAACCACCGAAAGAAATAAAAATGGAGAGGATGATGAATCCTTAAAGCATCCCCCAGCATCCTCACCTGATCGAAGCGAGACGCAGACGATCCCGAAGAGCAAAGCACCTTTCATCGTCGGCTTCGTCGAGTTTGGGGAAGCGATGTCGTCGAGTTCAACGGCAAATAGAATACTCACGTCTCCCTTATCGGACGGAGGGAAACTGTGGCTTATCGGAGATAACGGAAAGTGCGACGAAAAACGCGGCGAAAACACGGAGGGTGCATTCCACATGCGACGATCGTCTCGGATTCCGGAATCCCGGCTGTTTAGGGCCGATTGCGCCTGGTGATTCATGTCGAGATTGCGGGGTCGGCCTTGTGATGCGCGTGGATTGCAAACATCCGGAATTTACCCACATTTCTCTCGTGCTGTTTCCGGGAGTTCGAAATTCCTGGGTGATGTCCGTGTGCTGAAAAATGTTCAGTTTTCGCCATGAAAACCACGCGACGACAGACACGAATGGAGCAATTCCCATGAACTAAACGCAACTCTCGAGCTGTTACGTTTGCCGATTCGCAAGGAATTGGCACGTTGGCATGTAAGGGTAAATTGGCATGATGACATGGGAGGGTAAATTGGCATGATGGAACGATAGGGAACCTTGTTTCTAGGTATCTTGCTCTTTTTTCCCTCCTGTTGGGAGCCATTCATCACCTTTTTTATCAGTAAAAATTTCACTATCATTCACAATCTTCATTTCCTTGTACCTTATCATTTTTTCCGAAACGTTTTTCCACGTTTTCCTGCTCCCCTTTACAAATGATGCGACAACGGGGTTTTCGAAAGCAATGTTTTGCAGCACTTTCAACGGTCGCATCCGAGCGAAGACGACCGCCGATCGTGTCGACAAGCGTTTGCCTCCTTCGCCTCCTTCGTCGATGTTACGAGCAACAGCCGACAAAACGGTCGACATTCGCCTATGCCATGGACCAGAATCGCGGAGAGTGAACAATTATGAAGAAAATTTATATTTAGTATCATTTTTGAGTCAAAATTTTGTCACAAAATGTAATTCTTGCCTAGTTTTAAGCTGCAAAAATTCCAATTCAAAATTGCAAGAAATAGTTCATAACTGCACATATCTGTTACAACTGCGCACTAAAATTTGCCCTGCCATGGACAGTTGCAATTAAAGCCGGAAATCGCCCTTCCAAATATCAATTTGGCACTTTGAATCCCAATCTTAAAGGGCTAAGTTTTCACGAAATGCAAACAATTGCTAGTTTTCCCCTTTGATCTATCGGTGGCTATCGGTGACTATCGGCTCGGAAAATGGTCGAGCTTGCATGCTTCATTCTCGCAGTTTCGAAAAATTTATTCCAAGCTTTATTGGTCTGATCAGACTGAGAGTTCGCTTGAACGCATCGAAGATTTATCCATTTCTCGTCTCCAACTTCTCAATCGATTCCGCTTGACTAATTTTCGAAGATCCCATCATCGCTTGGGGATCGTTTATTGATATTACGATGGATCGGCCATGAAAAAAAAGTCGAACGGCAGCGACACCTATCCCTCGGACGATACACTCACTCGTACGCGGATCGTCCGACAGAGAGGGCAACTTGCCAGGAGGGTCGCAGTTGGGAGATGAATCTTCATGGAAAGTTTTCAGGGGTGGGTATGCTATCAGGCGCATGTGCGCGCGCTGCACATCTTTCCAATGTGGCGATCACGTTCATAGGAGGTAAACGCATAGAGTAACGGGCTGTTTAGCCGTTCCCGTGGGCTTCAGATGCCACACTCGCGTAAATAGACCAGCGGGAGTTAGCAGTGGATGTCGACATCAATCGACTGGAAAGGAGACGTGTTCTGGGTCTCTTCCTTGCGGGGTTTTTCTTTTGCAAGTTAGCACTCGCTCCTATTAGAATATTTTAAAAAGAGGATTTAAATGTGAATTGAAAAGAGGTTGAAGTTCGTGGAAAGTCAGAGGATCCAATTTGACATCGGGGAATAAGAATTCTTGGTCGATTCACTCTTTCTTCCAAAATCATGCAATACCCATGGTCTTCGAATTAGCAAATGCATTCAGTGACGATCAGAGCAAAAAAAGACTGGAGACAATTCAGAGAAATCGATGAAAACCGGAACTGTCGCAGACTTCCTCCGTGGGATTATTGCAGAAGTCCTCAGAGCAAAGCCGCACGTAATTTGCTCCTGGGATGATCTGGGAGGCGAAGCAGCCTTCGCTTCCGGGGAGGTCTGGGATGCACATCCTCCTCACCACTTTTTCTGCGGAGCCAATGACATGAGACAGAATTGCAATTGGGACGCAAAGGTCGCTGTTGAGTGGCTCTATGTCGAACCTGACCTTTGGTTTCGTCGGTGTATCCGGTGCCGCAGTAGTATTGTTTGCCTGGAACGATGACAAGTTGATCGCAGTTCTCCATTTCCTGTTTGTCCATATCTTTGTCGCAGTCCACGCCGCTGCAGGAATAGCATTGTAGTCCCGATGCTGCAATTGGCCACAGGAATCAATCGAAAGATACAAACCCTTTGGTAAGTAGCCCTAGCAACCTCATTGAGATGGAATTACCTTTTTTGGCATAGGCTAAAACCCCCAATGTTTGACTAGTGAATCTGGGTGAACCTTGTAATTCGCTCGTCGTGCCTAAATGGTACAAGCTACAAACTTCGTTTTTTGTGTGTGTCTGGGATCACTATAATTAGGATGTATATGGTCATTTCTTTGTAGTCATAACGTACGAAATTGCCATGACAATGGGCCTCACATTCCGTTTATCACTGATATTAGTGTCCCAGTCACGATGACCTCGTGTATTAATTTCCCATGTTTGTGATTACTTAGAGATCACAGAACTTTGAAAAATTTTCACCGTTTGGGTTTAATTTTTTATATTCTTTCTTGAAAAGTGGTTTGGAGTGCCACATTTTCGGAAGACGAAGGAAAATTGGTATGGAAAGGGGGGGGGGGGGGTCGTTCCGTTTGCCAGACTGGACTTGCTAACACGGGTCGAGCTGAAGGTCTCTCAGCCTCAACGGCTTTACGCACTACTTTCAGGAGCGTGTCCAGCGACGGTGGCATTTGCGATTTTGATAATCGAATTAGTACATTCGAAATGTGGTCTGTATCAATTAAATGGAAAATACTTCGCGAAACGGCCGTCTGAATCTCACGATCGTGACGAATAAGATATCGCGAGAAGAACCATCGGCCGTCATCTGGAGGAAGGAAAAGAAAGGAGCCAAGAGCAGCTCGGTGCCGGGTTTACAACTTCGACCCAAAGACGAGACGGGCGGATCTTGACGGTTGCTCGGGATTTCCTCAACATGGGTGGTTCCTTCAGAGGAATCGCTCGCAATTCAAAACTTTTAATATAGACCCAGGCCAGTCCGACGATTGACTACACTTGCCTTTTGAAAGCAAATTGGCAAAAGTATCAATTAAAAAGGCTTTCTATTGCCAGGCTTTCATTCTCGGAACATGCACTCGGGATATATTTTATTTTCTACGAAACGGCACCAACCTGAATTTGGGTGTGGTTTTCTTGTGCAAAACCTTCAATACTTTCTATGAAAAATAGCAACTTTGGGAAAATTATGCAATGAGAAATCTACCTTACTAATGAGCGTAAGTGTCTGCGTGTCTGTGGCCGCTTCTTCTCTTAGACGGTTTGATCCTGATCCTGAAACTTTAAATTTACGCTTTCTGGGGGTGGGGCATCAGAACGACGGAGTTTGGTGGTCCTGCCATCGATGGGTCGCTGGGCCGCCTTGGGTCACCAGGGTCATTTTTCGTCAAAATAACATTATTCATTGTGCGTGAGAGTTATTAAATCCCCAGGGTTTCCCAGTCAAGTTCATTTTTTTATGTGACCTTTGAGATCCTTTGAGATATTAGAGGTTAAATGTCAACATTTCAGAGTCATTTTCCCGGGCAAGACGTGCGCTCCAAGCCTTATAATTTTACATTTCAGGTTGTGGAGGACTTCCACACCTAATGCTACATAAAACATTTAAAAATATATATTTGCACATTCTAATTTTTCTTGCGTCTGGTGTCAAGTAGGTGGCGCGTGCCACATACTTGATCCACGGACAATCGATAAAGGGGGACCAGTCAAGGGAATCTGATAAAAATTTGTCGCTTGCACATCCAGGCAAGTGGCGCGACGTGTCCCCTTTTATCTAGCATACGGCTTGGGCAAGTCGTGGCCCACGGCCCTGTCCAATGTATCGAAATTCCGTTTCTGGTCCCTTTAAGGAGAGCATCCACTGTTCTTTTAAGGGTATCGTGCCGTCATAAGCACGCCACGGAAAAGAAGAATAACAGTTTCTAGTGAGGCAAAGCGCGCAAATAAGATCAAACGGCAACGAGATGCGCGTACAGTGGACACTGTGGAACAGCAGACTCAGAGACTATCTGCAAACGCCGAAAACAAGGCTACGGCCCGTGCGAATGAGAGGGTAGATCGTGGGCAGGGTTGCCCGTGTGCACAGGATATTTTGTGTCTACCTAGCATGCATGTACGGATTAGACCTGGAGGATCCGGGCTTCCACTAGTAAATTATAAGATGATTGGGAGTGTTGAGATCCAGTCGACGGCTTCCGGTGTTGCATGATGTAATTCGACAGTACCACAATGGATGGAGTATATGGGGCATTCGTTGACAATATGCTCCATGGTTTCAACCTTCAATTCCTACATTTCTTATTTGGAAAAATGTACAACTCACTTTCTTCCTCACAGACTTCATCCGTGGGATTATTGCAGAAGTCCTCAGAGCAAAGCCGCACGTAATTTGCTCCTGGGATGATCTGGGAGGCGAAGCAGCCTTCGCTTCCGGGGAGGTCTGGGATGCACATCCTCCTCACCACTTTTTCTGCGGAGCCAATGACATGAGACAGAATTGCAATTGGGACGCAAAGGTCGCTGTTGAGTGGCTCTATGTCGAACCTGACCTTTGGTTTCGTCGGTGTATCCGGTGCCGCAGTAGTATTGTTTGCCTGGAACGATGACAAGTTGATCGCAGTTCTCCATTTCCTGTTTGTCCATATCTTTGTCGCAGTCCACGCCGCTGCAGGAATAGCATTGTAGTCCCGATGCTGCAATTGGCCACAGGAATCAATCGAAAGATACAAACCCTTTGGTAAGTAGCCCTAGCAACCTCATTGAGATGGAATTACCTTTTTTGGCATAGGCTAAAACCCCCAATGTTTGACTAGTGAATCTGGGTGAACCTTGTAATTCGCTCGTCGTGCCTAAATGGTACAAGCTACAAACTTCGTTTTTTTTGTGTGTGTCTGGGATCACTATAATTAGGATGTATATGGTCATTTCTTTGTAGTCATAACGTACGAAATTGCCATGACAATGGGCCTCACATTCCGTTTATCACTGATATTAGTGTCCCAGTCACGGTGACCTCGTGTATTAATTTCCCATGTTTGTGATTACTTAGAGATCACAGAACTTTGAAAAATTTTCACCGTTTGGGTTTAATTTTTTATATTCTTTCTTGAAAAGTGGTTTGGAGTGCCACATTTTCGGAAGACGAAGGAAAATTGGTATGGAAAGGGGGGGGGGGGGGGCGTTCCGTTTGCCAGACTGGACTTGCTAACACGGGTCGAGCTGAAGGTCTCTCAGCCTCAACGGCTTTACGCACTACTTTCAGGTGCGTGTCCAGCGACGGTGGCATTTGCGATTTTGATAATCGAATTAGTACATTCGAAATGTGGTCTTTATCAATTAAATGGAAAATACTTCGCGAAACGGCCGTCTGAATCTCACGATCGTGAGAGTGAATCTGGGTGAACCTTGTAATTCGCTTGTCGTGCCTAAATGGTACAAGCTATATACTTCGTTTTTTGTGTGTGTCTGGGAGCACGATATAAGTAGAAATAGGTATTTTGAAGATATTGTCCTAAGAAACCTTATAGCTTCCGATGGCGCCTATCGTATGGGTGTCCGAACTTAGATGCGGAAAACAATTCCGGTGTGTCCGGTGCCGCAATAGTATCGAGTGCCTGGGAGAACGGCGAGTAAAGCACAGTTCTCGGTCTCCTGTTCGCTCACTTCTTTATCGCAGTCGAAGCCGTCACAAATATAACATAACAAGCCTGATACAAGGAAGGAACACAGAAAATGAAAGAAAAAATTACAATTTTTTTTTTTGCCGAAATGGAATCGAAACGACCGCGGTCTTCATTAATTTAGATTTATCTGTGTTCGAAAGGGCGGTTTTAGGAATAGGACCTCCGGCTCCAATGGCATTGGGAAAAGTAAAAACAAGGGCTGTATTGATATTTCAGCCCGACTACATGAACCGGGGGAGCAAAATAGCGGTAATTTACAGAATATCATAACAACCCTTTTTATGTCATTTATTTGCGAGAGATGCGTCCTTAAGCGCTCTTAACAACAGCAATAGGATCCGCATCCGATCACGGCACGTTACGCCAGCCACTCGACGCAAGAATCTCATTTCGGCAGCTTGTATCCGCGATCTTGGTCTTTAGGTCATGACCCAAATTTCATGACCATAAGTGAGGGTGGGGAGATAAACACTCTCAAAAACCGAGAGTTTTGCTTCCCCAGAAACTTCCGATCTGGCAACCACAGTTCGCCAAAGTTCCCGCAGAACTGCAGAAGTCTTAGAGATGCGGTTGTCGATCTCGTTTCCGTGTCGCCCATCATTCGAGAACCAGACCCCGAGGTACTTGAACTTCTCCACCTGTTGTCGGCACGATGCCCCAAGGGCATACCAGGAACGGAACCTTCATTTCCTACATTTCTTATTTGGAAAAATGTACAACTCACTTTCTTCCTCACAGTCTTCATCCATGGGATTATTGCAGAGGTCCTCAGAGCAAAGCCGCGCGTAATTTGCTCCTGGGATGATCTGAGATGAGAAGCAGCCTTCCCTTCCGGGGACATCTTGGATGCACCTCCTCCTCACCACTTCCTCTGTAGAGCCAATCATATGACAGATTTGCGATATGAAAAGAAAGATTGACGATGAGCAGCTTCTTATCGAACCTCACCTTTGGTATCGTCGGTGTATCCTGTGCCGCAGTAGAATTGTTTGCCTGGGACAATAATTAAATTATCGCAGTTCTCTGTCATGTGTTCGCTCGCGTCTTCATCGCAGTCCACACCGGAGCAGGAATGACATAACAGGGCTGACGCTATGGGGAAACCCAGAAAAGCAACGAAACTTTTCAGAACTTTTTTTTTCAGTAGAATCTCTCAAAACTGCCACCTAGGTCTCCCTGATTCAATATTTGGCAGTGTCTTCCTTGGTGTCGAATTTCCATCTCTACTGCAGTTCCTACGACTGGGAAAGGTAATAATTCACTTTTTTCCTCGCAGACTTCCTCTGCGAGATCTTTGCAGTTGCCCTCAGAGCGAATCCCGACGTCATTCGCTTGCGGGATGCTCGGGGAGGAGCATCCTCGACTTGAGCGTCCTCGACTTGAGCATCTTCGACTTTCGTTCTTTCGAATCTGCGTTGGAGTTGCAGGGTCCACGAGATTCTTTTCGCCGGTGAACATTTTTCCCCTTGTAAGATTTATGGAGCACTGAATTTTGCCACGATTCCACTAAATCCCGATGATTTTCCTTCTTTTATATCACCTCAACGGAACTTGATACGTGCGACCTCTGGAGTTCATAGCCTCATAATGTAGGGCATTTCGACGATCATCTGCTGCTGCCTGATGTTCTGTCGGTTCAGAGGCTCATTGGACGGTTTTTCCCCCCTCTCGTTCTGGACTGGGCTCATTTTTCGGTCAAGATGTTGATGTTGTATGAGAAAGACGTTGTTAGAATTTCGCAGAAAAATCTTGAAATTCGCCCATCAATTTGCAATTTTGGACTACAAATTCCGAGGCTCACTTGCCCCTTCGGCTCCTAATAATAACAGTATTAGCGAAGTCTATATTTGCATATTTTCCATTTCCGCAGCATTATTCGTTAAGTGCCATCAGTCAGGAACAAATTTCACTGGAAACGAAGGGGGAAGCAAGCAGGAATATAAAAAGTATTCGAACTCTGTGATAAACGCCCCCTGCCATCAGGGCCGCGAAAATAAAGTTTACACCAAATTCAAATGTAAAAACCACGATTCAACAAAAATATAAAATGACAGGAAGTCTCGTGAAAAAAGCCGCACTCACCTGCGTGAAATCCAAAGACGAAAAGCAGAACACCTTTCATCTTTCAAGTCGGTTTGGCAAAGAAAATTCGCAAAGGGAAGCCTGCAGACGGAGAAAAAACCGATTGGTAACTGGATTCCTCTCGCCTTACGCAGAGAAACAGGCTTATCGGTGCAAAGATAACAGATGAAAAAAAAAAAGCAAAAAAAAAAGAGGGCAAGTTCCGCTTCGTGGATTCGATGTGAGTTGAGAAACATCTGGAGTTTCCGAACGTTTTCGGCTTGTCTTATGGATAAGAAGCGAGAGTTTACCGGCTTGGGACCGAGAACAAATAAATAAATAAATAAATGGAGGACGGTGAACCCATTCGCCGCGATGATGACTTCGAAAGTGAGATTACGGGGGCAAACAAGATTTCTGAGCAGATCAGGTCGGATCCGAGAGATAAGCTGGAGTTGTGGATTCCGCGTGATGACCGAAGGAGATTTCGGGTTCCGGGGATCTCTCGGTTTCCGGAAAACGAAATCTGGGATTTATCTTTTTTTTTTCAAACGATATTCTTCGAGAAGAAACAGGGAGATGAAATCATGGTGCTGAATCTGTTTCGTCTCAGTCCGAATCCGGAAAAGTTAGAGGTCTTGCACCTCTTTCTTTTTGATTGAAAGTTTCACCCGTATTATTGAATATTATTTTTTTTTTTATGAGAAAATCCGAGGCAGAGTAAGTCTCTTTCTCGCTCTTTGCTCCGTGAGTAGAGATTTACTTGAAAATTTTGCGAGTTCCTTCAAGTTCCTTTCCTTATTTTTCAGCACAAAGGCAATGGAATTCTTTTAAACAAATGTTTTGAAGCGCTCTGTTTCAATATCACATCCTAACGAAGATAACGGCGACAGTCGCAGTTGGGGTGACTCACTCCAAATCCAAATGTGTTGAATGACGTCATGCACCCCTTCTGCGTGACTCGTGTGAAACGTCCAAAACTCAGCCCTTTCTTGCTCACGTGGTGCGAAACGAGAGCTGACGCCGATGCGCACAGAGACCGACGGACACTGATGACGTCATGGAGGGAGGGGAGGAGCGGGGTGAGATGGTCCAGCGCCTCCCCGCTCGTTCCCGCCATTCCACTCGTCTCGTGGATTCGGGTCTCAAGTGAGGAACGCGATGGATCGTCTTTCAGTCTTCTCCGGTGCCTCCACCTTTTCGAAGCTTCTTTGGTACGTTGCTTAGTTATATTTTCCTCGACATCAAGGTTGGTTGTGTAATTTGCCGACGTCAAGAAACATCAGCGAAAGCCAGATTTATAACGTTTCGGCTTGGTGAGGAGTTCGCGCTCTCAAATATTGACTGGGCATCTCTCCTTGAAGCCGTCGAAGGATGATGGAATTTTTATGTTGGCTGCTCTTTCCTAGTGAACAGAAGAGGGGTTCATGATGGGTTTCTCATATAGCAGAATAGTTTTGAATACTTCCCTATTTCTTTCTCTCTCGTTCTCTCTCTCTCTCTCTCTCTGGTTAAATGGATCTGTCACCGAACTTCGAGGCATTATCGAATTGAATGTGGCAGCATCGTGTTTTATAAACGCTTACCTTGAACCTCAAGTTCCTTTCGATTCATGAGGGTCAGAGTCTGGGGAAGAGACCGGCCATAACGAAAGACGGGATGGAGTTTCTACTCTGAGGAACACAGCTGTCACTCCCTATGGTTAGGTGCTTCACATTTTTGATTCCCTCAACATTTTTGGACGAATTCAAATGACGGCACTTGCAATCTTCGTCGCCTCAACTTCTTCCCATCATTGCCTCACTCAATTATGGCACAGCAGTCTTGTTTTGCAAGTTCAGCTTCCTCTTATAAATTGAAGAGCTAACTTTAAAGCAGGGAATGATGTTCTGTAAATCAAGACACACGACTATTAACACACTCATTTCCCTGTCCTTCTCCCGTTCTTTTCACATGGCCTCTCCCTCATGATTTGTTATTCTTACTTCCGTTTGAACCAGTGAGAAAGGCGCATTCTGTCTTGCCAAGACTGAACTGGTCGTCTTAGTCACAGAGATCACATCTATCAGCATTGAGCCTCAGAAAGCAGTGGCGGCTCGTGATGTCCAGCAGTAGTGGATCGCCATTAAGAATGCACTACCGCTGAATATCACGAGCTGTCCATGTCAGAAAGTCAAATTTGAATTGAAGATGTGCCTGTAGATTGATAGCTTCACTGGAACTGTTCCTGCTCTCTCTGACAGTCCTCACAGTGCAAATCATACATTAGCTGGTTCATCATACATTATTAGCTGGTTCGGTTCTGCCACCAAGTTTTCTTTCCTGGATTTCGTTCAGCAGTAGTTTGATTCAACACGCGGGAATGAATCGCTGCATTCCCTCATTGCATGCTTCTGATCATTCGGAAATCTGGAGACTTTGTACACCGGATTTTCATTAATTGCAAGGGTCCCCAAGAATTTCTTACAAACTTTAATATTTTGATCTCGAACAATCAGGAAGTAACCGAAGGCTAAACTCTTCCTTATCTTCTTACCAGCTTTTTTTTCCTCTTCGTTTCGCACCGATCCGGAGAGAATAGTGATACTTTTCATTCTGAGAAAGTTGATAAAAACTCAACAGAAGGTCTCTCTTACACATGAGGAAGCCTTTCCAGCACATTTGAATTTCCATAACTTCTCACAGCCCTTGAGAGTCTTCACTTCCTTCGTTAGAAGCAAGTTTCCGTTCCTGCTTACATACTGCTCACCAGCCTGATGCTTAAAGGTCTGTCTAAGGTGTCGGACGTGACATTCGGAGTAAGATTTTATATGCAGAATGTATTTATTTCTATTTTAAGGGACAAATCAACATATAAAGGCTGTAAAAATTAGCCTTAGCAGTCGCTCAAAATTCCATACGCCTAAGTTTTGCATATTCTCTTTTGCCAGAGTGGATTTGTAACGCCTGCTCGCCCTCAGCAGCTGATCGTGGCAAAAGTGACTGGTCGATCTCCCTTCCCCCCCCCCCCCCCATTACCACCCCCTTCCCCTATCCTCTCCTCCCACTTACCCGAGGAAGATCTGAGATACTTGTTTTTCTTTCTATTGCCTTCTCCTCGGCCTAAACTCTGGCAGACAGGAGCCGTTGAGGCTAAAATGTTTTGCAAATTATGCTCTCTCAGCTATAAACATCTCTGCAATAATGAGGACACGATCCCCAAACTTCCAAATAAGCTCTAATATGCTTTATTGGGTTATGCATTGTGACTCTAGAGGACATCACCAATTTCTGCTACAAAAGAACGAAGAAGAAAAATATTCTCAATCTTATTCCCAATGATGGCGATGCTAGGATCGTCAGTGCCGCCCATATAAAAACTTCCAAGTGCATCGTGGACTTGTACTTAGAGACTTATTCGAATAGAACTATCGTAGAGAGAACAGCTACGCCCGTCGCTGTATTATAATAGCGCTTCTCGATGGAGAAACCACGGAAACAGCAATGTGAAAGCTGCCATGCTTTCCGAGAACAAGTTGTGTAACCCGACAAATGTTTTTTGCGATGTGAACAAATTTCACTAACTCGGTGTCTCTTTCATCCCCAGCAGCGAGATTAATTCCACTCGACTCCCTGATCGACTTAATTAGAATCTCATTAATAGATTTTATCATCCAACCAAAAGGCCTTCTCTCATAACACAAAATACGTGTAAGCTCTCTGAACGAGAGATCTCGGCGATCGGGCGCTCGGCCTTCGATCGCCGTCGGTTTTTTCCGACGAATTGACGTTCAATCTTCGGCGGAAGAAGCGAAAGAGTAATTCCGCGAAATATGGGCATGATCTGGTTTCAAGATCACGCTGCTGGACCATTAAAGAAGCCGCTCGAGAAAGGACTGTCTCCAACGAATGCAGACGAGTTACCTATCTTTAATACACTTGAAACTAGAACTGTACCAATGGCCGATTTTCATCTCGTTACCCATCGGCCAGTGCCGATGCCGGTGCCGATTATGGTCGAGAAGAAAGTAACATGAAATCGTATAATTCATATGGGTCTATTTGGGAGCTGTGTGATACTCATCGGTGGGCCTTCTTAAAACGGTAGAGACCGCTTTTAGATCTGTTCAGTCGGTCTGTCTGTCTATGCGTCCGTCAGTGGTCAGTTGTTACCTGTTGCTGCTACACATTTCTCGCAAAAGAATGACAAAAATAAAATGATTTCCCGTTCTTTACTGTTTTCCTCCGGCTGTTCCTTCCGTACACTCGAGCTGAAATATAATTATGTCGATACTTTGGCTGGGAGAAGCAGGTAGGAGTGGCTTTCAATGAGACAGAAGAACCCATATAATTTTTTTTTTCGTTTTGCCCCTCGTTTGGCCATCGGCATCGGCAGCTTGCAACCCTGCCGATGGCCG